CCACCTGCCTCCCCCTCACCTGCCTCCCTCCTCCCATCCTCCTTTCCATCTTCCCCCTACCATCTTCACCTGCTTTCCTGCCACCTGTCCTCCTATCTACCCACGGCTTTCTTTCCTCCCATCCTCCCTCCCTCCTCCCCTCACTCTGCCTTCCCAGCCCTCCCAATCTCCTCCTCCCCTGTCTGTCTCCTTTCTCTCCCCTTCCCCATCTGTCTCCCTCGCCTCCCTGTCTCTCCCTCCCCTCCCCTGCTCTTACCCTTTCCCTCATCCCTCCCTCCTCTCCCCTCAGCCTCTCCCTCACCCTCTCCTCCTCCCCTCTTTCTCTCTCTCCCCCCACTTCTGCTCTGCATTTATCCTTCCTATCTGCACACCGGGCAGCAGAGCTGGGGCAGTCGCCTCTCAGGGTTCTCTGGCCCTGCCTGGTAGAATGAAGACAGCGGAGCCCCTGGCCCCTCAGTTACTCCTTGGGGCTCCTCCCCTGGAGAAGCCTCACGCCGCAGCTGTCTTCCTCAGTATTCTCAGAAGTGAAAAGCAGGAAGCCACCTTGGTGCCTGTCCCTGAGGGTGGCTAAACCGTCCATGGTGGGGGAGGGAACATGAGTGACCAGGGCTCCTGGCCTGAAGCCAGGCCGCACCATTGCTGACTGTGTGACCACAGGCAAGATGCTTTCTTTTCCCTGACTTGTGTGACTCAGTTTCCTCCTCTGCCACCTCCTCCCGTGGTTCCTCTGAGGTTCGGATGATGAACCAGTTGGCACTGTGCCTGGCGCAGAGGCCCTGCGTGGTGGGAGCTCTGATGGCCTTCATTTGATGATGATGATGCTGTGGCTTTGCCCTCTAGTCTCTGTGCAAACCTCTCTCTGGGATTATTTGCCCACAGTGGCTTCCCCAAAGGGCAGTGTGGTCAAGTGGGGTCTTGGCACCCACGACAGTTCACTCTGGGGTCAGGGGAAGAAGCCAGCCCCTTCCCATCCATTGGTCTCCGTAGGTCAACTGCAGCGGAGACACCTCATCCACCCAGCTGTTAGGACTCTGCCGAGGGGACATCACTGGGCAGCCTCTCGAGGTACGGGCTCTCTGTCCTGGGCAAGATGGTTGTGGTACACAGTGGGCCGCTCCAGGGAGGCTGGCACAGCCTGATCACAGGGGCTGCCTGTGGTGTGGCAAGGGGCTGAGGTCACTGCCAGGAGAAACTCACATGGTCCCCTTCCTTCAAGACCCACTTATCCCCGGTGACATGCACCTGGACTCCCAGCTCCCAGGGGCGTCAGCTCAACCTGATAGTCATTGAGTGGTCCCGTCTGCAAGCACAGGAAGACGTCAACCAGGACCCGAGGGTTGCAAGCCCACCTCTGTCCTGGGCGGCCGGGCTGGTGGCGGGCGTGTCCTGGCCTCATGAGACAAGTGGACGGTGGAGCTCAGGCCTGAGGTGCGGCTCAGCTCAGGTGGCTTCACGCTCTCTCTGCCGAGGGTGCCGGCAGGAAGCGCAATGCCTTTCTCCTTGCCCTGTCTGTCTCCCAGCACTGTCATCTAAGTGGCAGGGGCTCAGCCATTTCTATTTTGTGCGTGGTAGTATCCCCAGGTTTAAGATGGGGCCTGGCATGTAGTCCACATTGCTGACCCATGGAGTAACAGTCCCTGCCCCATAAAATAGATGGCGTAAAACTGTGAGGGGCCTTGCTGCTTGCTGCGCATTTGGGCAATGATCGCAGCTGTTGCTGCTGTTTCTTTTCATTCATTCATTCATTCATTGAGACAGAGACTTGTTTAGTTGCCTAGGCTAGAGTGCAGTGGTGCGACCTCGGTTCACTGTAACCTCCACCTCCCAAGTTCAAGCAATTCTCCTGCCTCAGCCTCCCGGGTAGCTGGGATTAAGGTGCCCGCCACCACTGCCGGCTACTTTTTGTATTTTTACTAGAGCTGGGGTTTCGCTATCATAGCCAGGCTGGTCTCCAACTCCTTTCCTCAAGTGATCTGCCCACCTCAGCCTCCGAAAGTGCTGGGATTACAGGCGTGAGCCACCCGCACCCGGCCTGCTTTCACTGTTTCAGTGATCAGCCTTCGTGTGTGGGGTGCAGGGGTTGCAAACTTGAAGCTTTTGGGGCCAGGTGGAGAACTGAAATGTGTACTCTGGGCTGTGTGGGAACAGCAGAGCGTGCACCACGTCTTAAAGCCTCCACATTGTATGTATTTTTTCACATTTCTTGTAGTAAAATGCATATGGTAATGTAAAACTGTTTAAAAGTATACAACTCAGGGACGTTATGTGCGTTCACACCATCCTACAATCATTGATGCTTGTGAGTTCCAGAACTTTCCTTACCCCAGTGGAAACCTCATACCCATCAGCAATCCCTCCCATCCTCTTTTCCCTGGTCCCCAACTACCACGAATCTGCCTTCTGTCCCTATGCATTTGTCTATTCTGGAAATTTCATATAAACAGACTTATATAAGATGTCGTATATCCCAGCACTCTGAGGCTGAGGCAGGCAGGTCACCTGAGGTCAGGAGTTTGAGACCAGCCTGACCAACATGGCAAAACCCTGTCTCTACCAAAAATACAGAAAATCTGCTGGGTGCGGTGGCGGGTGCCTTTAGTCCCAGCTACTCTGGAGGCTGAGGCAGGAGAATCGCTTGAATTCGGGAGGCAGAGGCTGCAGTGAGCTGAGATTGCGCCACTGCACTCCAGCCTGGGCAACAGAGCAAGAATCTGTCCAAAAAACACAATACAAAATACCAGAGTGACCACACAAAACTTAGCAGCTCAAGGGCCACAAGCCCTTAGCAGTCTGCAAGCCCTGGTCTAGGGTGACTGGACCCTGGGAACTCCCAGTCCTGGGGGAAAGTCTAGGGAGCCAGCTTTGTGGAGGGCTCAGGCCTCAGTTTCCCCAGCTTTGCCCATTGGGGCTGGGTTTCAGGGAAGTGCTTGGCGGATAACAACAGAGAGCTCAGCCCTGGCTTCTCTGCTCTCACGGTGAGTCTCTGGAACTGCACTGAGCCTGTGTGCCTGGGACCCGTGAGACCTTGGCACCATCAGGGTCAGCGGTGACACCAGCAGAGGCCAAGCAGGCAGGCCTGGGTATGGCCAGTGTGGTTGGGGACAGTTTGGCAGAGCTGGCCAGCAGTGCAGAGCCCCTGAGACTCAGGACAAGTCCAGCCTCAGGCCCTGTGCTGTCATCCCAGAGGGTGGGTGGCGCAGGGTCAGAGCCCAGCAGACCTGGACCTCCCGTGGTGTCCCACAGCATAGGTGGCCGCCTTCTGCGTAGAGCGGGGTCACTGCACACCCAGCACACAGGCATCAACCGGGGATGGTGTTAAAATGCAGGTATGATTCTGGTCTGGTGGGGGATGCTGAGGCCCTGCGTTTCTCATAAGAGTCCAGGAGATGCAGTCATGGATGGGCCACGGCTCATCCTCTGGGTCGAAGGGATGCCCTTTCCCTGCCTCTCATCCCTGTTCCTTCCTGTCTGGGTAGTTCCTTCAATAATGGTGGAGGAGGTGGTGGAGATTTCACTGAAGGGTTTTTTTGTTTGTTTGTTTTGAGATGGAGTTGTGTGCTTTCGCCCAAAGTGCAGTAGCGTGATCTCTGCTCACTGCAGCCTGCCCGCCCCCCACCAGGTTCAAGTCTCCTGCCTCAGCCTCCTGAGTAGTTGGGATTATAGACACCTGCCACCACCATGCCTGGTTAATTTTTTTATTTTTAGTAGAGACGGGGTTTTGCCATGCTGGCCAGGCTGGTCTCAAACACCTGACCTCAAGTGAGCTGCCTGCCTTGGCCTCCCAAACTGCTGGGATCACAGGCATGAGCCACTGCGTCCGGCCTCACTGAAGGTTTTACTGAGATGGTTGTGGGGCGGCATGGGAGGGAATTACATCTCGCAGCAGAGTTTGAGAAATGTTTTCCGTCAAGGCCAGGCAGTAAACGTCTTAGGCTCTGCGGCCCCGCAGTCTTTGCTGCAGCTGCTCCATTCTGCTGCTGTGGTGTCGTGGAAGCAACCACGGGAATAGGACGTGAACGTGTTGCAGGAAAGGGATCTCGATCCGGACCCAAGAGAGGGTTCTTGGATCTTGGGCAAGAAAGAATTCGGGGCTGCTCGTGCCCAATTTAATGCTTATTTCTTGATGACATGCTAAACAAGGGGTGGATTATTCGTGCCTCCCCTTTTTGGACCATATAGGGTCACTTCCTGACGTTGCCGCAATATTTGTAAACTGTCACAGTGCTGGTGGAAGCGTAGCAGTGAGGATGACCAGAGGTCGCTCTCATAGCCATCTTGGTAGGTTTTGGTCGGCTTCTTAACTGCAATCTGTTTTATCAGCAAGGTCTTCATGGCCTGTGTCTGTCGCTCTTTTTTTTTTTTTTGTGCAACGGAGCCTCGCTCTGTTACCCAGGCTGGAGTGTAGTGGAGCGATCTCGGCTCAATGCAACCACCGCCTCCTGGGTTCAAGTGATTCTCCTGCCTGAGCCTCCCGAGTAGCTGGGATTACAGGCATGAGCCACCACATGCAGCTAATTTTTGTATTTTTAGTAGAGGTGGGGTTTCACCATGTTGGCTAGGCTGGTCTTGAACTCCTGACCTCAAGCGATCTGCCTACCTCAGCCTCCCAATGTGCTGGGATTCCAGGCGTGAGCCACTGTGCCTGGCCATGACCTGTATCTTGTATGACCTCCTATCTCATCCTGTGGCTTAGAATGCCTAACTATCTGGGAATGCAGCCCAGTAGGTCTCAGCCTCAGTTTATCCAGCCCCTATTCAAGACGGAGTTGCTCTGGTTCACAGAGGTTCACACCTCTGACAAACAGGCAGGGTTGTATTCCAATAAAACTTTATTTACAACAAAAGGTGTAGGCTGTTGTTTGCCAGGCTGTTCCGCATCAGTCAGGAATCTTCCTTTTCCCAAAGTTTTGCTCTAGCCATCCTCCCCGGGCCCCCTCTCCCCTGCCTGCCTCACCTCCTGACTGGCTCTCTGTATTTTCTCTGTGGGTTCCTTGGTGCATGTGTAATTAGCTGGACTAATTACACGTGTAATTAGAGTGTAATTAGAGTGACCAACTGTGTTGGTCACTCCTGCTCCTTTAAGAGGGTCTGAGTTCCTCCCACCACAGGGACACGGATGGCACTGATAACCCCTGGATGAGTGGGAGCCAGTGCCAGCTTGCCCCAGGCTGGCTCACTGTCTGCATGGGGCAGCCCAGCATCTCCTTGGTGGCATTCCAGGTCTTCATGGACATTCACAACAGCAGCTCGGGCTTTGAGCATTCTGGACACATCCTGATGGGACCCACATCTCTCAACTACTCTGTGAGCTGCTGTTACCATGATGGGCACCTGGAGCTCTCTGGCCAGAGCTGGCACAACAGTGAGGCCTTGTTGTGGGCGGGATTCCCAGGCGAGGCCTCCCTGCATGCAGAGCTGCAGATACACGGTAAGGCACCCAGCCCCGGGACTGGGGAGGTGGCTTCTTCCATGCCTGGGCCAGCCAGCAGCCTCAGGCCTGGACCCAGATGGCGCCCCATGAAGCCCAGTGTGGCCCTGGGCTCTGGGACAACCAGGACAGCGTTGCCCATGAATGGTCTCACTCCCAAGGCAGGCGGATTAGTTTCCTAGGACTTCCGCAACCAAGTCCCACGCACCAAATGGCTTAAAACACAGAAATCTTAGCTGGTGTGCACAGGAATCTTAGCTGGATGTGGTGGCATGTGTGTGCATGGTCCCAGCTACTCGGGAGGCTGAGGCAGGAAAATCGCTTGAGCCAGAAGGTCGAGGCTGCAGTGAGCTATGATTGTAACACTGTGCTCCAGCCTCGGTGACAGAATGAGACCCTATCTCAAAATAAAACAGTCCACAGTGGGTTGAACACCCATCCGGCTTGAATGTGATGTTATTTTTACTTAATTTCATCTGTAAAGACCATTTATTTATTTACTTAATCAATTTATTTATTTAAGACAGAGTCTCGCTCTTTCACCCAGGCTGGAGTGCAGTGGTGTGATCTCGGCTCACTGCAACCTCTGCTTCCCATGTTCAAGCGATTCTCCTGCCTCAGCCTCCTGAGTAGCTGGGATTACAGGCGCGCACCACCATGCCCGGCTAATTTTTGTATTTTTCGTAGAGACAGGGGTTAGTCATGTTGGTCAGGCTGGCCTCAAACTCCTGACCTCGTGATCCACCTACCTCGGCCTTCCAAAGTGCTGGGGTTAGAGTTGTGAGCCACCAAGCCCAGCCAAGACCCTATTTCTAAATAAGGTCATCTTCTTAGGACAGAGGGTGAGGGGGGTGGGACTTCATTATCTCTTTTTGGGGGCCATGGTTCAACCCATTATGGGGGGAAGATAAAAGCAATAAGAGGAGCCAGCATTGGTTGGGCACTTACTGTATACACGCCAGGCAAGCTGTGTACACACGAGAGCTCAGTGCAGTACAGCTGTGCCCATCACACAGGGGAACGCCACCGCTCTTAGAGGGGCCTTCAAGCCATCAGAACCCCCACCCTCCCCCCATCTGACCTCCTTTCCCGGCCCCCAGCCCCACCTGTTCCACTCCTTTCTATTCTTTAACACACCAGCTTGCTGCTGTCCCAGGACCTTGGCATGGGCTGATCCTGCTGCCTGGAATGCCTCTCTCCCACACACCTGCCTGGCTCCCTAGCCTCCCTTAGGTGTTTTTCCAATGGCATCTCTGGGAGGCCTCTTTTCCACCTCCCCATCTCCTCCCAACCTCTCCCCAGTTCTGTCATTTGAACACACCGTGTAGCATACAAATACCATTGTTTCTCATTCTAGCTACACTGGACTCACCAGAATGTGTGCTCCATGACGGCAGGGATGATTTTTGTCTGCTTTGCCACAGGGCACATAGTAGGTGTTGAATGTGCGTGAATGAGCATATGAGGTAGGGTTAGGAATGCCATTCCCATTCTGCAGATGAGGAATGGAGGCTCAGAGAGGTTGAGTCAGCTGGCCCAGGCCACACAGCTGGTGATGATGGAGCAAGGATTGAACCCAGAGCCACCCTCTGACCCCCACATAGATTACGGCGACCTGGCTCTTGACTGTTCAGGACCCCTGGGTCTCCCTAGTCCCCTAGGGCATCTTCTGTTGGCCTCAGACTTTTTTATTTTGGGAGCTTGGTGCAATGGCTCATGCCTGTAATCCTAGCACTTTGGGAGGCTGAGGCAGGTGGATCATTTGAGGTCAGGAGTTCGGGACTAGCCTGGCCAACATGGTGAAACCGTGTCTCTCCAAAAGTATTAGCCGGGCATGGTGGTGCCTGCCTGTAGTCCCAGCTACTCAGGAGGCTGAGGCATGAGAGGCACTTGAACCTGGGAGGTGGAGGTTGCAGCGAGCCAAGATCACGCCACTGCACTTCAGCCTGGGTAACAGAGTGAGACTCCATCTCAAAAACATGTAAAAAAAAAAAAAAAAAAAAAAAAACCAACAAAAACTTTAGTTTTGGCTCTCAGCCTCCTGAGGGGTGAACGGAGGACTGGATCACATGAGGAGATTGTCCCTAGTGTGAGCTGACCTCAGAATTTGCTGGGGACAAGCGATGGAGTGATGGGCAGTCATTCTGGATGAACACTTCCACGCCGCTCTAGTTCCCGACCCAGGATGCCTGGTGTGGCCGCCCCCAGCCAGGAGTGACCTCTCCCTCCTCCCAGTGCTGTTCACAGTCTGCTGTCCCCACTCTCGGGGACACTTTCTGCCCGTCGTTAACATTCTTGGTATCTCTGACAGCCAAGCGCTCCCAGGCGTGGGAATCATGTCCCCTCCCTCCTCTTGCCCTGCACGTAGTAGATTCACATGGTTGAGTGTGGAATGAGGAAGGAAGGAAACGTGTCCGAGGCCTCCTGCATGCCCCACAGGTGGTCCTCTCTCATGTGTTACCCCATTTTCTCTGGACGCTGTCCCTTGAGGCAGATGGCCTGTGCCCACCTTATAGATAAGGAAGTCGAGGCTTAGAGCTTCAGGGCTCATCCACCCTGCTGGCCAGATGGGAGGTGCTGGAGCCTGGCTGAGTGTCACTTGGGCCTCAGCCGTGAGCTGCACCCCACGGGAACCTGGCATCTGACATCTGACATAGAGTAGGCGCCATCTGTTTTCTCTGTGGCTCCTGGACCCGATGGGTTTCTATGTGTACAAGAGGGAATTTAAATCAAAGAAGAAACTCCCGTTGTGAGCCAGACTCTCCTGTTCTATGGGGGATGACGGGAGGGATGGGACCCTCCAGCCAGGGCCAGGTGGCTGCAGGTGGATATCAGGCCGCAGTGGCCATTTATCAAGAGCAGAACTCATGTTGATTCCTCTGTAGGCTGCTCAGAAGATCCCAGGAATCCCTACAGAGAAGCCACCTCCCCTAGTCATTCGGGAAGTACTCACTGACCCCCTGTTGTGTCAGGAGCTGTCCTAAGAGAAACCCTGCCCCAGGGGATGGCATTCTGGTGGGGTGGCAGTAGGGGCGCAGGAACCTAGTAAGTAAGCGAGCGAGGTCATTTTGGGTTGTGCTGGGAACCCCACTCCAGGGAGATGGGATGGAGGATGCCTGGCAGCAAAAGATTGGGAGGGACTTGAGATGGGCAGTCAGGGGAGGCTTCTTAGAGGAGGTGTCATTTCAGCAACTTCAACTTCAATGAGCGGAGGAGCCATCCAGGCCTAGATCCTCGGGGACAAATGATGAGAGATGATGTCAAGGAGGCTCAAAAGGGGTTGACCTCCCCCAGCCCCCATGGGAGCCTTTCCGTTTCCTACTGGTGTTGTGTTTGAGGGCCACAGGGCACCGCCCATCCCGAAGTCTTGTGTGTTCCTGGGTTGGGAAGGGAGGTGAACCTGTCTTCAGTAGCCCATGCCATTTTCTGCCTCTAGAGTCCCAGACCCAGGCCAACGTGGCCCTTCGTGGCAGCGACGGTGGTGTTTTCGTGGACCTGGCAGCCCTGGTGGCTTGGCCACTGCACGGCCCACTGCAGATGATGGCCAATGCCAGCCACACAGTGCCTGCTCTGCAGAGGCTGGGCCTGCCCTTCTCCAGCCAGGTAAGGAGTGCATGGAGAGGGCCTCCCTCCAAATTCTGTCCCCTCTGTCCAATTCCTGGGGTGCAGAGGACCCGCTATGTGCAGGACGGATGGGGAGGGCCAGGCCTTGGGTTTCCCCAGCACTTTACAGTTTACAAAGGCTTTATTTGTAATCACTATGACCAGGTCTGCTGTGCAGTCTCTGCGTTCCCGGTTACAGGGCTGGTGTGGATGGGAATCCTGGATTAGCATCTGGCTTCGGACCCGTCTTTCTGTCCTGCACTTGGGTCAGAATCAAAGCTCCTGCTTGTCCAGTGCCTGCCCCGTGCCAGCCCCCTTTGAAGGGTTCATGGGCGTTTGTTAGTTTCATCCTCCCAATGCCCCAGAGAGAGGCAGGATGTCCCCTTCCTTACCAAGCTTTCTCCAGTGTTCGGATCCCAACTCTGCTGCTTGCAGTCTGTGTGGCCTTGGGCAAATTCCTTCGCCTCTCTGTGCCCTCATCTCCTCATCTGCAAAATGGGGATGATGATATTACCTATAATATGGAGGTTGTGAGGATTGAGTGAGTTAATCTCACGAATGCCTGAGTAGATGCTTCAGGAGCACTTCCTGTGATGAAGATGAAAAAGATGATTCTGATGGTGTGACAGTGACCATCATCATCACCACCATCGTCTCTGGGTCACAGGTGAGAGTGTGGGTGACTTGCCCAAGGTCACCTAGCAAGCAAGCAGCAAAATAGGGCCTCAGACTTGGCGCCCAGGTCCTTCCTCACAGGGCCCTCCTGCCTTGGCGGAGGAACCCACATGAGGCCATGCCGTGGCCACTGTCATTTGGCATGAACTTGCCCTGCCTGGCTGGCCCTCCTTCTCTGAGAGCCACAGAGTGTGCTCCAGAGCAGGCTCCAATGCTTCTTTCACATCCACACTCCTGTTTCAGATTACCAAGCAACCCCTGCCCTAGTCCACTCTGCAGTGGGAGGAGGGGGGGGCTCAGGAGGCCAGGATGTCACCCCTCCTACAAAGGATCTCAGCTCTGTACCGCACAACTCAGTGGACTGGATACCCCATGCCCCTGACTTCATCTACACTCTACCCTGGATTTGAGGCCAGGTGATGGGGAGCCCCCCAGGGAGCATGTTCTCGGCCGATGTCTGGGCTGCAGCTGTCCTTTGAGTGGGCATTGCCATCCTGAGCTGCAACAGGGGCAGACCCCTGGCATCCTCAGCACCCATGAGAGTGTTGGATGAGCCAGGCCTGCGGGGCTTGGGGACAGGGACGTGCTGGGCTGTACAGCTTGGCTGGGATCCCCACCTGGCCTGTGAGGGTCCTCAGGCTGTCTACACCTGCACACCGCGCAGTTTGCTCCCTCCTCAGCTCGTGTTCCTAGGACTCTGGGCGGCAGAAGAGATGAGCTCCTTGCTGCGTCTGACCTGCGATTCTCAGGCCATCTTGGTCCTTGACGTCCATGGCCAGAACCAGGCAGTCGGGTGAGGCCCCCACCTACCAGGAGGGGAGGAGTTGGGGGGAGGAACCATTGGCTGGGCACCTACTGTGCACTGATGCTGGACACGGCACCTCTCCATCCTCTGCTCAGCCCTGCTGCACCGATGTGGGCAGGGAGGCTCAGAGAGGGCAAGTGACTTTCCCAAGGTCACCCAGCTATAAAAATCCCTCACCCTCTCCAGGCAGAGCACTGATGAGTTCTTGGTCTCAAAAATTAAGTGCATCCCAGGCTCTAGACACTTACTAGTGATTATGGCTGCCCTTAGGGCTGGGGGCCTGGTGAGGTGCTTGGTGTTCTCATGCGTGCACTATATCAGGTGCCACCAGCCAGTTTCCAGTGCTCAGATCTCGGCAGCTGGGGAGGGAGTGAGTAAGCCACTTGTTGAGGGGGAAAACCAGTGGTTCTCACTGAGAGGGGACTCTCCCTGCCCCGCCCCCAGGGACTTCCGGCATGTCTGGGGAGTTTCTGGTTGCTACACTGGGGAGGAGGACGCTGTAAGCGTCAGTGTGCAGAGGCCACGGATGCTGTTAAGCATCTTACAGCAGGTCCTAAGTGTGCAGGACACACCCACGACCGCGAGGCCATGAGCCAAGACGTCTGCTGTGCCAAGGCTGAGACCCTGGGGTGGAGAAGACCCTGACAGGAGAGTGCAGCGCCCTGGGGTTACCCAGGCCTGGCACAGTGGCTTACACCTAGAAGTCTAGTGCTTTGGGAGGTAGAGGTGGGGGGATTGCTTAAGCCCCGGAGCTCCAGCAGCATAGTGAGACCAGCTGGGGCAACACAGTGAGACCCCCATCTCTACAAAAAGTCTTAAAAATTGGCCAGGTGTGGTGATGCATGTTATAGTCCCCGCTGCCTGGGAGGCTGAGGCAGGAGGATCACTTGAGCCTGGGAGGTAGAGGCTGCAGTGAGCAGAGATCATACCACTGCACTCCAGCCTGGACGACAGAGAAAGACCCTGTCTCTAGGAAAATGGAAAAGGAAACATGGAGACGATTCCTACCCTGGCCTGAAGGACTGAGGGGAGGGGAGCTGTGTGAGGGGGAGTCCTGGGAGGCGGCCAGGGGGTCACAGTCCTGCTGTCCAGACCCTGCTGGGGCTCCCATGGGACCAACCCAAGAAAGCTCGTGGATGGCCTCATGGCAGACTTGCAGCCCAGAGCCAGGCTTAACCCTTGATACCAATGGGAAAACTGAGGCTCAGAGAGGGGCAACCGAGATGCTTGCCCATGGTGCCAGAGCTAGGTGGAGGCCAAGCTGGGATTAAAACCCAGGTCACCTGGCTCCAGAGTCCAGCCCTAACAGGATACCATATGGCCCTTGGGCCTCAGGGTGTGTGAACAGCCCTGCATTGGGCCACTGATGTGATCCTGGCTCTCTGACCCTCTCTTGGGGAAGCTGACTTGGTCCAACCTGGCCCTGGAGGCACTGGACAAGGCGGCTCTTGCCAGCTTCAAGCCCTCTCTTTCCTTCCTTCTAGCAAAGAGCTGCTGCTCTCAGGCCGGCATCGCCTCCCCTCCCTCCTGGGCCGCTGCCCCAGCTCAGCCTCAGTCGCGGCTAAGGTAACTATGCCCCAGCCGCCTGGCTCCTAACTGGTTCCAGATGCTCGGCCGCCCGAGGTGGGAGGGGGCCAGGCCCCTGTGGGGCATGTAACGCATGCGCATCTGTCTGCCAGCCTGCAGCAGGCCCCGTGGGCCACCCTCGGAAACGTCTGGCTCCAGCTTTCCCAAACATACCCAGGTTTACATTCCTGGGCCGGCCCGCAGCCAGCCATGCCCTTTCGGAGATGGGGGAGGTCTCCTCACCCAGTGCCTGGCGCACTTGTAGAGGCTGGAGCTGATGACGCAGCCATTTGAGCTGAGCCAGCGTCACCCCCATTTCTGCTCTGCACGAACGACTGGAAGGCCCTGGGAGTGGACAGAAGGGCCCATTAGACTTAGGCCAGGTTCCTCTGTCCCTCTGAGCTGTCGTTGTCCGTGTCCAAGTCTGGAGCTCCTGGAGGGCATGCCTAGTGCCTGGCACAGGGCCCAGCGCATAGTAGGTGCTCAGTAAAAAACAGGGCATGAAGGGGTGAGTGCATGCATGAATGGTCACATCTGCCAACTAGTCATGTCAGTTTCCGGCCAGCCACCGTGTTTTGCTAGGCACCCTCCTAGCCCTGGCCCAGGCCGACTGTCTTTACAGAGCACGTGGTGTGTGCTGGGGTCCTCTGCCGCATTACACATGATTTTGGAGTTCCTTACACTTCGCTACAACTGCGCAGTCATTCAGGGAACTTCTTTCTTTATTATTTATTTGTTTTTTCAGACAGAGTCTTGCTTTGTCACCCAGGCTGGAGTGTAATGGCATGATCTCGGCTCACTGCAACCTCCGCCTCCCAGGTTCAAATGATTCTCCCACCCCAGCCTCCTGAGCAGCTGGGATTGCAGGCACGTGCCACTATGCCTGGCTATTTTTTGTTTTTTGTTTTTTTTTTCACAGAGATGGGGTTTCACCATCTTATCCAGCTGGTTGCAAACTCCTGACCTCAAATGATCCACCACCTCTGCCTCCCAAACTGTTGGGGTTACAGGTAGGAGTCACCATGCCTGGCCTTACTTTTTATTTTTAAAATTTCTTTTTGAGACAGAGTCTTGCTCTGTCACCCAGGCTGGAGTGTAGTGACGTGATCAGAGTTCACTGCAGCCTCAAGCTCCGGGGTGCAAGTGATCCCCTGCCTCAGCCTCCGGAGTAGCTGGGACCACAGGAAGTACCACCACACCTGGCTCCGTTCAGGAAGCCGCTTAGTTTTTCCAAAAGTTTTGTTTTGAGTCATTTGAACCTATAAAAAAGTTACTGTGGGACAGTGAACGTTGACCAATTGTTAATATCTTTCCATATTTCTCATCTGTGTTACATTTGTATCGTTATACACACATTTTTTCTGTATCATTAAGAATAAGTATAGAGATGTCTCTGAAGACGTCACCTTTTTACTCTGAAATACTTCAACTCTTTCCTGTAACAAGAGTCTTTTCTGATTTAACACAATAATTACAGCATTCAGGAAACTGAACATTGAAGTCATACCTTCATTTAATGTGCAGCCCATATAAAATTTCCCAGCTTTCCCAATAACGTTCTTTCAAAAAAAAACTTGTTTTGTTTTGTTTTAAATCCGGGATGCAGGCCAAGATCGCACAGCGTGTGTAGTTGCCATGTCTTTTTAATTTTCTGAATCTAGAACAGAAGTCTATAAACTTTTACTGTGAAGTGAAATGTGGGGGTTGCAGGCCTTATGATCGCTGTTACAGCTACTCAGAATTGTCATTGTAACACAAAAGCAGCTATAGACGATATGTAAGTGAATAGGCATGGCTGCGTTACAATAAAACTTTATTTACAAAATCAGGTTGTGGGCCACATTTGACCCAAAAGCCAGCTCCTGATCTAGAACATTCTCCTTCCACACCCTACCTTTCCTTACCCAATGTTTTATTTTGAATTTTTATTTTTTAACTTTTTTTGAGACGGAGTTTCTCTCTGTTACCCAGGCAGGAGTGCAGAGATGCAATCTCGACTGACTGCAACCTCCGCCCACTGGGTTTAAGCAATTCTCCTGCCTCAGCCTCGAGTAGCTGGGATTACAGGCGTGCACTACCACACCTGGCTAATTTTTGCAGTTTTAGTAGAGATGGGGTTTCACCATGGTGGCCAGGCTTGGTCTCAAACTCCTGACCCCAAGTGATCCGCCCACCTTGGGCTCCCAAAGTGCTGGGATTACAGGTGTGAGCCACTGCGCCCAGCACCCCCCACCCCCCCGCAACATTTTATTATGGAATTTTTCAGACACTAAGAAAAGGAAGTAATTTCACAGTGAACACCCATATACCTAGATTTTCCTGTCCTCATTTTATTTTGCATAATCACATAGCTCTCCTCCATCCATCTTATTTTTGGATATGTTTCAAAGTAAGTTGCAGATACCAATATAATTTCCCCTAAACATTTTATTATCATTAATCACCTTTAAAAAAATTCCAACCGGATGCAGTGGCTCACACTTGTAATCCCAGCACTCTGGGAGGCCGAGATGGGAGAACTGTTTGATTTCAGGAGTTCAAGACCAGCCTGGGCAACCTAGGGAGACCCTGTCTCTACAAAAAACTGAAAAAAGTAGCCAGGCATGGCAGAGGGTACCTGTAGTCTCAGCTACCCGGGAGGCTGAGGTATGGGAGAACTGCTTGACCCCAGGAGGCTGAGTCTGCAGTGAGCTGTGTTCATACCACTGCACACTCCAGCCTGGATGACAGAGCAGACCCTGTCACTGTCTACAAAAAAAAAAAAAATCCTGCATTGACAATTTTGAAGTGTCCAGGAAGCTATTTTGGAAAACATTCTCTTAATGTGGATTTGTCAGATTGCTGAAGACAAGGTTCAGGTTGAAGATTTTTGACAGGGGTATCACTAATGTAATGACACATCTCTGGTGAGCTCTTTCAAAGTATCAGCTCTTGGCCAGATGTGGCTGTAGCCTGTAATCCCAGTACTTTGGGAGGCTGAGGTGGGCGGAGCACCTGAGGTCAGGAGTTAGAGATCAGCCTGGCCAACATGGCGAAACCCGTGTCTCTACTAAAAATACAAAAAATAGCCAGGCATGGTGACACACATCTGTAATTTTAGCCACTCGAGAAGCTGAGGCAGGAGAATCACTTGAACCCGGGAGGCGGAGGTTGCATTAAGCAGAGATCACTACTGCACTCCAGCCTGGGTGACAGAGAGAGACTTCGTCTCAAAAAAAAAAAAAAAAAAAAAAAAAAAAAAAAAAAAAAAAAAAAAAAAAGGTATCAGCTATTGAACCTCTTCTCAGAGACTCCGTTTTAGTAGGTTTTAAGTGGAAGCCCAGAATCTATATTTTTAGTAAGTTTCCAACAGCGATTCTGCTTTTCAGCCAACCTGGGAGTTAGCACGTTATTTCATACGATTTTCACAGGCGCTATTTCAGAAGGTGGGGTGTGACCTAAAACGGAACTGATCAATCCTTCCTCTCATCAAGTGTCTACTGTAATGGGGAAGATTACCCAAAATCACAACCCGTAATAAAATAGATGTCCTTATCCCTGTGTTTTGGATTAGAAGGCTGAGGATTGGGTGGTTAAGGACCTAGCTAGAGATTACTCACCTCTCCGTGGTGCATCCACACTTGGAGTTCTGTGTGTTTGGTGCCGACACAAGCCCAAGCGTTGTCCTTTCTGCTAGACTGCCCCCTGCTGGCTGCAGCAGTACTGCAACTAGAGTTCTCGCCTGCTGGCGCCAGGCTGGTAGATATTTTCAAGTCAGTGTTACAGCAGGAGGGCCTGAGAAGATAGTTGCTATGGCCACATTTGATGGCCTAAATTGAGGCTCCAAATGCTTACTTCACCAAAGTCCCTCCAGCCCAGGAAGCTGTGGGTCTCCTGGCCCTGGGGCTTTGGGAGGCAGAGCTCACGGCTTAAAGCCAGCATCTGCTTAAATGTTGCATCAGAGCTCTGATGAAGAGATCGTTTGTGTGTGTGTGTGTGTGTGTTTTTTTCCTGACCCAGCTACACTACTCCAAGGGTGAGGTTCAGAGCACATTTGCCTTGGGCGTGGAGGAGCATCATTTTCACATCAGCACCCAGCTGGTAGCTGCTAAGGCCAGTCTTGCCAACTTCATGAAGCTGGAACATTCCTTCCTGCAGGTATGTGGAGGACGGCCCAGGCCCAGGGCATGCTGGGGTGTGGGGAGGGGGTCGCTCCTGGGACAGCCCTTGCAGAAAAGAGAAATTGTCCTAATGTCCTGGTTTCTGGGAGGAAGGGCAGGCAAGGCTGCCAAAATTTCCTGGAGTAGATAATCAGTTGGTGTCTTTATCCATCCCTTCCTCTTTTTGCATGATTTATTGAGCATTTACTAGGTGCCAGGCACTATTTCAGAAGGTGGGGTGTGACCTAAAATGGAACTGATCAGTCCTTCTTCTCATCAAGTGTCTACTGTAGTGGGGGAGATTAACTACCCAAAATCACACAAATATGCCAGATAGTAGTAAGATATGGAGAAAATGTACTGAAGTGACTGAGTGAACAGGGAGTGTATTTAGATTAGGTGGCCAGGAAAGGCTCCACTGAGGAGGTGGCGCTGGAGCTAGCCTTGGATGATAAGTGCAGCCATTTGAAAATCTAGGGGAAGGCCAGGTGTGGTGGCTCATGCTTGTAATCCCAGCACTTGCAGAGGCTGAGACAGGAGGATCACAAGATCAAGAGATCGAGACCACCCTTACCAACATGGTGAAACCCCGTCTCTATTAAAAATACAAAAATTAGCCAGGTGTGGTGGCACACACCTGTAGTCCCAGCTATTCAGGAGGCTGAGGCAGGAGATTCGCTTGAACCCGGGAGATGGAGGTTGCCGTGAGCCGAGATTTCACTACTGCACTCCAGCCTGGGCATGACAGCAAGACTCCATCTCAAAAAAAAAAAAAACAAAAAAAAAAAAAAAGAGCAAACTTCCTACCCCACCCCAGCAGTCAACCTGCAGTGCCCTCAAGTGACCCTCGGACTATGGTACCTACCAGCAGGGACAGCGACCCTCTCTGAGCCTTTGCACAGGCTGTTCCATGTGCCTGGAATACTCTTCCCTGCCTCCTCCCCAGGCTTGCCTCTTTGCGTTCCTTTCTCCCTTGAATGCCTCTTGTGACCATTCTTGTCCCATCATTTTCTGTCCTGTGACTATCTCCCTGCCAGCCTGGAAGCCCTGTAAAGGCCAGGACCACGTCTTGGCTATCTGTACACAGGTGCTCAGCACTGGCTTGGGAGCATAAAACCTGCTCACTGCATGATTGAGAAATCCCAGTACCAACTGCCTGGCTCCTACAAGCTCCTCTCTACAATCTAGCCCTGGGCTGAGTGCACCGTTTATATTATCTTGCAGAGGTTGACACTTTGTTGCCTTCATTGTCTAGGAAAGTGAGGTTCAGAGAGGTTGGAAACGTGCCCAGAGCCACACAGCGTGGCCGCGGAGTTGAGAAGTGGCTGTCCTGTGCTGTCTCCCGTTGGCCACAGCCTCTGCACCCACTCCCCTCCTTTATGCCATCAGCTCATCCTTAGGAAGCATTTGGCTTTTTGACGTGTGTCACCATGCAGAAAACTATAAATGATCCACAAATAGTCCCTTTCTCCTCCTCTGCAAGCTTCTCTCCTTTCCCATCCCAGGCAGAAGTGTGGGGCAGGTTCCCCTGTGACGCCATCATTCTCTTCCAGCTCAGCGCCCTTCCCGGGGAGCTGGTCCTGCAGACCACATATGAGAGAGCTCATGGGACCCGTGTCCTGCGCCACATGGTGCTGTGGGATGGCCAGGAGTTGGCCCTCATTGGGAGCCTCTCCGGGTCTCTCCCCAGGCCCTTCAGGAACCTCAGCCTGCAGGGTGAGTGTGTGAGGGGACGTGGGCAGCAGTGACCCAGTCACTCAAGAAATCATCCCTGGCTGGGCACAGTGGCTCACGCCTGTAATCCCAGCACTTTGGGAGGCCCAGGTGGGTGGATCATCTGAGGTCAGGAGTTTGAGACCAGCCTGGTCAACATGGTGAAATCCCATCTCTACTAAACAAAAATTAGCTGGGTGTGGTGGTGGGCACCTATAATCCCAGCTATGTGGGAGGCAGGAGAATCGACTGAACCAGGGAGGCAGAGGTTGCAGTGAGCCGAGAGCGCACAATTGCACTTCAGCCTGGGCAACAGAGTGAGACTTGGTCTCAAAAAAAAGCCATCACTGAGCACCTGCTGATCCCAGGCGTGATTCTAGGCACTAGGGATCCATCAGGAAGCAAGATGTTGCCCCTTGGGGAGACAGGCATTGAGCAAGACACACATAAGCAAAATAACATCTAACATAACGATTTCAGCATGTGGGAAAGACTGAGAGAGCAAGCAGGCCTGTGTGGAGTGTGGGGCTCCTTTAGGTGTGGTCTGGGAAGGCCTCTTGGAGGAGGTGACTTCCGAGCTGAGATCTAAGGGATAAGAAGCAGCTGGCTGAGGTGCAGATCTGAGCAGAGGCACTTCAGGCGGAAGCCCCTGGTGGAAATGAGCTTTGCGTGTGGAGCAGCATCAGGGAGGCCAGGGTGGCTGCAGTGGGGAGAAGGGAGGAGGTTAGGCAGGAGGGCTGGGGGACCCAGGGCACGCAGGGTCTCAGTCCACAGAGAGAAGCTAGGGCTTATCCTGAGTGCGACTGGGCAGGGAGAAGGGGCCAGGGTGTGGGAGGGGTGGCATCCCTGGGCAGTTCTGGTGCCAGGGGAGGTGCGTGCCAATGCAGCCCCAACAGCAGCGGTGAGCCCCGGGGTCCTCCGGGAACAGGCATCCCTGGAAGGGGCTGTCATTCGTGGCCTGTGCAGCCACGCAGGCTGTCAGTTTCTGTGTGAGAACCCCCCTGGGTACAGAGAAGAGCCCGACCCCGGACCCGCCAGGTGCGGAGACAGAGTGCAGACCCCAGCCTGGGGCACGGTTTGCCAGGTGGCCTGATGGAATCCTCCCAGTGTCACGTTTGCCAGTTGTGTGCCCTGGAAGGCAGAGGAAATGAGCAGGTCCTCAACAGGCCAAGGCAGTGTGCAAGTATGTGTGTGTGCATGTATGTGTATGCCTGTATGTGTGTGCATGCCTGTGTGCACACCTGTATGCACGTGTGTGCCTGTATGTGTGCATGTCTGCGTGCGCATGCCTGTATGTGCATGCTTGTATGTGCACGTATGTATGCCTGTGTATGTGTGCATGCCTGTATGTGTGCCTGTGTACATGCTTGTATGAACGTGTGTGCACGTATGTGTGTGCATGTGTAAGCCTGTGTGTGTGCATGCCACGTGTGAGCATGCATGTGTGGATGCCTGTGTGCATGGGTGTGTATATATGCACGTGCATGCATGCGTGTGTTTGTGTATTTGTGCCACCCTTGGTGCGCCTCACAGCCTGCAGCCCCACACTGTGGTCACAGTGTTGCAGGTGGTGGGTCAGCAGGTGGCTGGGAAAAGGCTTCCAGCCCTGCCTGTGGTCAGCCTCCCCAGAACCAGTGACTGGGTGATGCCCTGAGAACCAGCTAGTGCCAGTGCCTCTGAGCACAGCTCCCTGCAGCCCATCTGAACATGTGGGTGCCCTTTGTACAGAGCTCAGCACAGCACAAAGCGCCCCCAGGCAGCCTCCTGCCATAGGGGTCTGGGAAAGCAGACTGTGCAGGGGCCTCAGGAGGTGGGGTCAAGTGATACAGGAGGTCAGGGCAGCTTGGCTCACCTGGGGGACAAAGGAAGAAGACCCAGGGTGTGGAGACTGTTGCGAGGACTCAGCTGTGGGGTGCCACCTGCCACACCCCGAGATGGAAGGAGGGCATAGAACTGGGTGCCATGGGGGCGTGGGGATTCTGAGGGGCCCAGGTCACCCATGCATGTGAGGCCCCAGAGAGCGATGCGGGTTGCTGGGAGTTGGGGCCGCTCCCATTAGACCTTGATGCAAGATGGTAAAAACTGCTCCAAAACTCAGCGGCATCAAGCAAGCATTGGTCCTTGCTCACAAGGCTGTGGGTTACCTGGGCAGCTTGTCTGTCCTTCTGCATGTTCAAGGTCAGCTGTAGGGTGAGCAGGCGGCTCTGCTGGCCTTGGCTGGGCTCTCTGACCTGCTCGGGGGCTGGCTGTCAGCTGCGCTCGGATGTCCTGAGCTGAAACCAGGCTCCCTCCAGCCCCGGGTGGCACCAGCCCACGGGCGAGCAGGGTTGGTTCTCATGTGGCTGGGAAGGGGTTCAAGGGAGGAAGCGTGGCGAGGCCTCTTAAGGCCTGGGCTTAGAACTGGTGCTCGTTCACCTCACCGCATTCTATTAGCACATCACGAGGCCAGCCCAGGTCCGAGGGTTGGGGAGGCGGATGTCACCTGGAGGAGCCTTGACGTCTCATTGTGATGGGGACTCCCACAGGGGCAGTGCAGGGTGTCAGGTGGTAATGGTGACAAAGTGAATGCAGAGCTGCCGAATTCTGTGTGGCCCCGAGTGGTCACCTGCTTGAGCTGGCAGTAGCTGCCGCTGAGAGTCCCCTGAACCCCCCAGGGCTGGAGCTGCTGACCTCAGCTCACATGGCCTACCCTTTGTGTGTGTCCTCCCCCGCCCAGTGGAGCTCACCCACCCGCTGCCCCTCCCCCTGCCTCAACACTGCAGCCTCCGCCTGTCCTCACAGCATTCGGGAGGCAGCCACCGGGACGGCCTGGTTGTCGGCTGGGATGGCAGGGACCAGGTAGGTGTCGGGGCTGGAAGGTGACCCTGGGGCAGAGCTCAACTCCACCCTGCAGGCTGAGTGGGGTCCTTGGGGCCCTCCTCTGCCTGAGGAGCCTTACCTGGGGCTGACAAGGCTGCACCATGTCCCACAGTCTCATCGAAAGGGCAGCAGGAGACCTGGGTCCCCACAACACCTTGACAGACATGGCAGTGCCAGTGGCTGACAGGCCCTGAATGCTTAGCCCGTGATAGGTGCCGTGGGTCAGCCCACACCTCAGCCTCCAGTCTGCTCGGTGCCATTAATAGCCCCGTGTTCAGATGGCGAAATTGAAGGACGTAGAGGCGCCGTGACCTGCCCAGAGCCACAGCTGGGGAAGACAGTGGAAGAGGAGGGCGACCTCCAGTTTCATCTCTGTCATGTGTTCGCTGCATTCGCTCCTCACCAAGCCTCGATGTCCTCCTCTGAGAAATGGGCTGAGCTCTCCCAGGGCCTTGCACAGGGCTGGGTTTGTGCTCAACGCCACCTGCCCTTGCAGCCTTGACCCTGGTGGAGAAGGTGGGAAAGGTGCGGCCTGTCTGGGTAAGGCCCCTGGCTGAGTCTGTCCCCTCCCCAGGTGGTGGTCTCCTCCTCCCTGTGGCTGGGGAAGAGTGAGCTGGCTGCCCGCCTGGCCCTGGCTCACCCATTCAACATCTCCTGGCAGCAAGCCGAGGCCAGTGGCCTTGCTGAGAGCAGGGGTGGCAGGCAGAGCCGGCAGGTGAGCGAGGATGTCCCAGGCACCCTTGTCGGGGGTGGGAGCTGGGAGCCACGTGTCTGAGCCTGGGGGGCTGGGCCCGTCAGGTAGGAGAAGGAGACCATGTTCATCGTTCATCAGTGACAAGGACTTCTCCGGAAGCACAGTTCCCTGAAGCCTGGGATCTCCTCGGTCCTCCATTCAGTTGTTCCTTTACCAGTACTTCATTAAGCACGTACTGTATACCAGGCAGTGTTTGTGGACAGCTCACATTTTAACGTGGGAAGCAAGTCCAGGCGTCTCCAATTCATTCATAGTTGCCTGTTCAGTGGTAGCTTTGGGGACTGAGTGAGCAGCTGGGCGCCCCGTCTGGCTGGGTGGCCTCTGGCGTCTCCCATCGCCTCTCTGAGCCTTCGGTTTTTCCATCTGTGGAAGGGAGGACAATAGGCCAGCTGTGTGCAGGAATCAGAAGGTGTGACAAGCACCATAAAGCAGTAAAGATGGGCCGGCCGCGGTGGCTCACACCTGTAATCCCAGCACTGTGGGAGGTCGAGGCAGGCAGATCACTTGAGGTCAGGAGTTTGAGACTAGCCTGGCCAACGTGGCAAAATCCTGTCTACTAAAAATACAAAAAATTGGCCAGGCATGGTGGTGCACACCTGCAGTCAAAGCTACTCAGGAGGCTGAGGCAGGAAAATCGCTCGAGCCGGGGAGGCAGAGGCTGCAGTGAGCCAAGATCATGCCATTGCACTCCAGCCTGGGCGACAGAGCAAGACTCCATCTCAGGAAAAAAAAAAAAAAAGTAAAGAGCATATAAGATCGAGAGTGACTAGGCAGATGGGTGGGGGAGCTACTGTAGGCAGGTAGTCAGTGAGGGCCTCGTGGGGGAGGCAGCCCCGTTGGGAAGGACCAGGCTTGTGAGAAGGTGGGGAAGCAGCATGCAGGAGGCAGGAAAAGCAGGTGCAGAGGCCCCTGTGGTGGGAAGGAGCCGGGTGCTTCGGGGAGCGCTGGAAGGGGAATAAGACGGGGGCAGAGTGCTTGGTGGGGGGGGGTGACCTGGCGATGAGGTCAGATGGGCCGGGACAGATCCTGCTGGCCCTGGAGGCCGCACTGAGGTGCGAGATTGCCTTCTGCTTTTGGAAATGCTGCGTCTGGGTGTTGAGGATGAGGTGTATTTTTTACTCCAGATGCTTTCCGTCTGCAGCCTGGGAACAGCTCTGGGCTCTTCCAGAGACGAGGGGCAGGGCAATCTCTCCACCCCACCATCCTAATTCCTCTACAGGGATATTGGGGGGGGGGGTGCCAGTTTCTCCATCCTCCCTAGCCTCTCATTTCCCAATAGAGATGGGGTGTGGGGGTGCCGTTAGCCTCTCTTCTCCCCCGAGTCTCCCCCTTACCCCACCACTGCCCTCCCATCTCAATTCAGGTACAGCTCACCTGGAACAGAGGACAGCCTGTGACTCTGCAGCTCACCTGGGCCGACGGGTTCTCAGCACACAGCACCACCTGGGACGGCTGCCTGGCTGCCTCCCCGGGGCAGGTATGCGGGATCTGGCTGCTGTGCCCAGTGTGGGGTTCCCCTTTGCTCCAGGCTTCTCGACTGGCCCCCCCACCCAGGTCATGTACCTATTCTCTTCCCTATCAGCTCCAGGAAACCTTGGGCCTGGATCACCTCCGGGCCTGCGGGGCCATAACACAGACCCCAGCTGTGTTCATTGAACAGCTCGACCTGTCCTGGGGCCAGCAGCGTATGCGGCAGAACTTGACATACGAGGTGAGGCCTGGGGAGCAGCATCCGGGCTGGGAACCCCCAGGCGGCTCCACCTGCTGCAGGAGCACCCCGCTCTGGGTCTGTGTGGTCTTGAGTTCCAGTATGTGCGGAATCCTGGGCAACCACTTTTCTGCTGTGCACCTTGGTTTTCTCACCTGTGAAATGGGCACAATACCCCCTTCCTACCTGGGATGTGGTGAGGACTCTGGAAGACAAGAAAAGCATGTGTTTCCAGAATGAGATGCTGGAAACAGATGGGGAAGGAGGTGGGGTGCTAGTGGGCTTCTCAGGAGGGGGCAGAGGGAGATCGGGAGCTCAGGCTCCTGGAGGCATCGGGGACCATGTCTCCTCCACCATCACTACCTGATGGGTTCCTCATGGGGCCGAGCACTGTTCTGAAGAGCCTGGGGCAGGAACGTGCCCATGGAGAACTGGGGAGAGCTGGCCCTGGAAGCCCCCTTCCTCCTCTGGGCCTCCCACCTGGGTTCCTGGGGCTCTCAGGCCTGGCCCTCTATGTGCTCAGAGCAGAAATCCTGCCATGGGAAGGGTGCAGTGGCCTGTAATCCCAACACTTTGGGGAGGTTGAGGCAGGGGAGTCACCTCAAGTCAGGAGTTCGAGACCAGCCTGGCCAACATGGTGAAACCCTGTCTCTACTAATACAAAAAAAACTAGCTGGGCATGGTGAGGTACACCTGTAGTCCCAGCCATCTGGGAGGCTGAGGTGGGAGAATCACTTGCATCTGGGAGATGCAGATTGCAGTGAGCCGAGATCGTGCCACTGCACTCCAGCTTGGGCTACAGAGCAAAACTCTGTCTCAAAAAAAAAGAAGAAAATCCTGCAGCAGAGTGTAAGGGAGTGCTGTGGCTGTTGAGGGCTCTGACGGTGGATTCCTGGCACATGTTCTTACTAGGTGAGGGTCTCCACCTGCAGCTAGCCATGGGCATTCTCTTCCGTGATAAGCCCCTGGTATATGGGCCCTCTCATTCTAGAGGCATCAGCCATCTCAGCCAGAAAAAATCGTTGTGGAGGCCATGCTGAAGCACGTCCTCGGGGCCTCCTGTGCCCAGCAGAGCTTCCGGGGAGAAGTACAGACTGACTACGCACACTGGCTGCAGCACTCCCTCCGCCTGGGGCTCTGTGACCTGCCCAGGGTGAGTCTGCCGTGGGGAAAGGGGCAGCCGGAGGACCAGGGACCAGCAGTGATGGGGCAGTACGGAGGGTGGTGCCCACAGAAGGCAGGAGTGTGAGCGAGGCAGCCAGACACCAGCATGGTGGCTCTGCCTTTTGCCTGCTGGGTGACTAGGCAGGGCGCATCTCCTCTCTGAGCTTCCAGTGTTTCATCTGAGGAATGGAAGGAGCAGCAGGTTCCAGGAGGTAGGGGGATGGTGAGAGTTGAGAGAAATGTGATGCAGGAATGCTCAGCCTTGGTGCCTGGCACAGAAGTTAGAGTTGCTGTTGTCATGTTTGCCTCAGAAGAGAGGTGTTGGGCCCTCTTTTCCTCAACCCTGTCCCTTCCTGGGGTTGGTAGCTGGTTGATTGGGTCGTTTATCCACCCACCCATCCATTCATTCACCCATCCTTCCTTCCTCCTTCCCATCTTCCATCCATCCCCATTTCTGCCGTCCCACCCTCACTCCCTTGCATCCCTCCACCATCCATCCATTCCATCCATCCCTCCCCCTATTTCTGCCCTCCAACCATCACTCCCTTGCATCCCTCTATTGCTTCACCATCCATCCATAATCATCCATCCACCACCCATCCACCCACCATCCACCCATCCACCCACCATCCACCCATCCACCCACCATCCACCCATCATCCACCCATCCTCCACCCATCCACT